GATTGGTTGTTGGGAGTTTGTCAGAGAGAGAAACAATGTGTGTATTCTCCCCATCTGTGCATGGTTGCTATTCCGCTGCTTATCTCTGGTCTGTGTTTAGTGTGGACTCTGTCTCTCCTCCCCCTATGTCTTGTGCATGTATGGGCATGTGTGAGATCTTTTGTGTGAGAGTGGCAACAAAATTGTCAGACAACCAAGTTCACAACAGTTGGTATCAGAGCGGAGATTGGATTTGGAACACTGAGGGTTGAGTGCAACAGAGGCATCCCCTTCGTCTGGCCGTAACTGGCGAGAAGTACCATGGCGGTTCTTCATCTTGAGTGAAGATCCAGTAGAGAAGTGGACATACAAGTGGTGATTGCAAGGATTCAGTGTGCGATTGATCAGGCACCCTGAGCCTGTTTGAGTGCCTGACAGGATTGGGCGAGAACAGGGGTATTTCGCCATCCACCTTTCTGAGCCCAGTTGATGATTGAGTTCAGGGTGGCGAATTATACCCTAAACCAGTGATGACTGGGTGGCGGCATCAATCCCAGTATAGCGCTGAGGGAGAATTGATCGCAGGATCACTCTCCTGCTGAATTAGCCCTACTCAGGGCTAAATTTAGCACCAGCGGCTCCACTTTGAAGTGGCGAGATATCTTCAGGAGAGTTCTCCATCGCCACTGAGGCAGATTCAGTGAATCTGGGAGTTGGGGTTGAATCGCCACAGGGTACTGAGCATGATCAACAAGTTTCAGGAGATTCTACGCGTGGAAATCAGTGGAGAAGTGTCTGCAAGCAAGTGGCGAGATTAGAGTTCTGTCAGCCATAGCCAAAACTTCATCATCCACTGGAGCAAACACTGCAAGTGAGTGTGTTCCGTGTGAATCCCTGTGCAGCGATTAGTTAAGGATCAGTAGAGTCTGAATTGATGGTCTGTCTGTCAGTAGGGTCACAATTTTGAAATTGTCAGACTGCAAGACAGCCATAGCCATCTTCTTCCTCCCTACCCTGACCCATATCTCACCATCTATTGACTCCTTCTGACTCAAAATTGTTCTGGGACTGTATGACAGTATTGCGCAGCATCCTGAATGATCAGACAGTGACTTCTGCCCAGAAGAGTAGTCATACTATGAATTTTAGTTTTGGGCTGAGTCTATTTTTAGTCCAGGCTAACTACGGTCAGTCAAAACTCAAATTCTGTCCGTCAGAACTCCATTCTGTCAGTCTGGGGTGAATCGCAATTCAGTATCTGTCATCTGTGCTGAAACGCTAGTCCAGAATTAATGTATTTGAGTAATTACAGTGAAATACTGAAAATCGTTGTGTCAGTGGGTATTTCTATTGATGTCAAAGGTGGCGAAAATTGAGTCTAGGGCTGTGAGGGTCTAGTATACTGCATCGCTACTACTTGTTGCCCTGTTTCAGTCAGTTCTTGTCTGTATCTGTCTCTACCACCGACTATCCTTGTTTTCTGATGGGCTCTGGAATGTTAGTGGTCACTTGAATGCACTTAAATTGTATGTTCAAACTTCAGTGAAGGTTCAGTGTCAGGTGTAGGAAATCGTTAGTGAATGGTTTTACTGGACTTTCAGTCTGTCTGATTACTAACCCCGGTGATTGTATCCCAACCCTAACTGCTTGTGCCTACTAACCCCAGTGATTGTATCCCAACCCTAACCGCTTGTGCCTACTAACCCACCGGCTCAGCGGCGCAAGACGGAAATTGAGGCCAAGCTGCGAGAGCAACGGGCGCTACTCGCAGAAGCTGAGAGACAGGAGGTGGCTGAGTTGGAGGCTGCAATAGATGCCTCCCGCAAGGAGTTTCTGCTGCAGCAAGCGGAGAAAACTGTTGCAGATGAGAGGGTGGCCCAGTGCACCAGGTACCTGGCTGAGTTGGTGATCTTGCATAACAAAATCACAGCCAGCCACTTTACTAACTGGGATGACCGGATTCAGCGTCTGGAGACCAGGGTAGGCGACCTGGCGACTCAGCAGTCCAAGATCCTGGATGCTATCCAGAATCTGACTGCTCAGTTGACAGCAGCCCGCCTGATTGCACCTGTGGTAACACCCCCTGCCTCTACTAAACCTAAACAATATTCACCTCATTCTTCACCTCCTTCCTCCCCTCACAGTTCCCACAAGTCATCTCCCTCTATCTCTTCCAAGGCCAAAGCCAAGCCTCCTCCCACCTTTGCTGCTGTCGTTGCTGGGGATCAGCGAGGACCCAAGATCCCTGCACCCAACAAGTTTAGGGGCGATGACCCCAAAACTGATGTTGGGGACTGGGCAGCAGGAACCCGGGCCTACCTGAAGGGTTTCGTGTGCCCAGAACAGCAGAAGGTGGCTACCGTTGTGGGGCTGCTGGAGGGCCCAGCCCAAAAATGGGCCACATCTACAGCCAACGCCCAGCAACAGACTTTGGAGGACTGGGCTCTAGCCCTAGGAGTGGATAAACTTTTGCAGGCCCTGGAGGACAGGTTCGCAGACAAAGAGCGTGCTTGTAAGGCTGCTGACAAGATCGTACGCCTTGGACAGCAGCACTAGAGTGGCAGTCTGCAGGCCCTTGTTGCTGAGTTTGAGCAGCTAACCTCCACCCCTGGTTTGGTTATGTTTGCTGATGATCTACTGACTAACTTTTGCAGGGCTGCGCCTGAAAAGTTTTATGTTGCTCTTTACAGCGCAGGGCATAAGGACTGGAGGTCCTTTGGACGTGCAACACTAGACATGGAGGCTAAGCTCCATGTCCAGGCCCCCTCCAGTGACAGGAGAAAAGGCGCCTTCCCTCGCGGTGGTAGAAAGGGAAAGGCAGCCTTTGCTTATGCGGGCTCTAGGTCAGCCTCTGACACAGGATCCCAGCCTGGTACACCGCCAGATGGGACTGGTTCAGCTGCTGTCCCAGATGTTGCAGCGGTCATTCAGCAGCTGCAGGCTGCGTTGGGGGCCTTCCAGAAGGTCGGGTCTCCCTCCAGCACAGCCTCCAGCAGCAAGGGGAAGAGCCAGGGACGTCGCTCTTCTACCCCTGCCCGGCGCCCTAACCTGCCGCGTGACGTCCGATTCCCAACAGACCCTCTGAACCCCAACACTCTCCCATGGCATGACCTGAAGATTCAGGAGGGAATGTGGAGGAAGAGGAAAGAGAGAGGGGTCTGTATGAGGTGTGATGGACAGCACTTCCTAAAGGACTGTCCCTACATGCCTAGCCCAGCTCAGTCAAAAAACTGAAGCTAACCTTGGAGACTGCAGTTCCCTCCAGTGCCGCACCTGCATTTGCATCTGCAGCAGCTTCAGTTGAGACATCTGTTCATCCCAGTTTGAGGACTGCGCGGGCAGCATCCTTCTGCTATGAAAATCCTGACCCGGATCAGGAACCGGATCAGTCTGAGTGTCAGTCACTTGCTGTTTTTTTCTTTCACCTGAAAGAACAAAAGAGAAGCAAGTCTGATCTCATACTCCTTCGGCCCCTGATCAACAGTATCAGAATCAAGGGGTTATTAGATTGTGGAGCCACCGGATACTTCATGTCTCCTTGTGCAGTCAAGAAGCTGCATCTGGGCATGAAAGTGGTACAGTTGCAACAACCGCTGCAAGTTAGAATATGTGACTCCACTGTACTTACCATCAGGGAGAAGGTCAGGGGCATCCCTGTTACCTTCGATAGTGCTGGAGAAGTTAGACATTGTCTGAACTTCTACATATTCCCTGATCTACCCTTTGATCTGGTTTTCTCTATGTAGTGGTTGAAAGCAGTCAACCCAAGGATCGACTGGCAGATCCCCTAGGTTGAGCTGCCTGACAGCAAGGGGGTGTATCAGCCATGCCTGATTGCAGCTGACCACCACCCTAAGACTTCTTGCTTCTGCTAGTTCTACGCTCTCTCACGCCAGTACGATCATGAGCGTCTGTTCATAACCCTGGTCAAGCAAACAGACGCCCCCACTGTTTCCTGTTCTCCTGAAGTACAGCAGGTGGTTGACCAATATGCTGATCTGATGCAGGAGCCCGTTGGATTACCCAACCGGCCAACCAAGCATCGCATTGAGCTGCTGCCTGGAGCGGTCCCTCCCAAGGGCCGCATCTACAGGATGTCCCCTGCTGAGCTTGA